TTGTTGTATGATACATAAATTTTGTCACTTGCAATTTCTATTTCGCTTTGCATCATGCAGACATTTTTGGCAGCCGTTTTTATCCTAACTTATTTCTTTGCGTTCTTTAAATCCACCATTCGTGTGTGCGGCAATTCATCTCACAATCACTTTGTGATCCAGAAAACGTATCCATGCTGGTAGGAAAATACAAACACGAAAAAACACAGTATCCAATTTTTTTGGACGTGCTATGTCCAATGTGTAACCATATGAGACACTGAATTTCGGGTGAAATAGCTGCAGTTTTGCGCATTTCACCGAAAGGGTGCTCTACCGCTGATTGCTAATTTGTTTTGATACAAGGTTAAGTTAACTACCTTAAATGTATCAGCAACATTCTGCAATATTGCCAGCTGTATTAATTTGCGGAAACTTTGCCCAAACAGTAAACTGCCGTTTAAGGGAGACGATGGAAATCTATTGGACCCAGGGGGGCTTTTTATTCGACCGTTTGGAAGCGGCCGTTCGAGAGGACAAGGATATGGGAAATAGAAATACCGTGGCGGTGTGCAGCCTCATCAAGAGGGCAGCCCCAGAGAGGCCTCTGCCGAGGTTGATCGTCTTCTGCGGGCCGTCTGGAGTGGGAAAGGGGCGCGTCATGGATCTCCTCGTGGAGGCTTTACCGGAGAAGCTGGCCCGCACAATCAGCCACACTGTGCGAACCATACTCTGTCGTTATTTGCAGGGCGCGAGGTGCACCAACAGATATGAACTTTCCTGGAGCCTTTAAAAGATTGTACCTTTCATTATCCACAAGACATGTCACAGCATCTGCTGGTTGTTAGGATATACGCATCCGTGTACGCGGTGGGCGATGGCAAGTCCGCCATGCACATTCTTGGTCTTGAACCATGAGCGAATTTTGCCGACCATACTGTGCCATACCAGTATCAGAGCAGCCTGCATTTGCGGTGCTGCTCACGGGTAAAGCTGTATCTATGGTGCTTTCTGACCCACAGTTTGGATCAAAAAGGGCAAATGTGGGGTGTGCAGAATGTTTCTCGCAGCGCCGTTTTCCTCGGGAAAATACGGAAGCCAGGCACGATGTGGACCGTGCAAGAGTGCGCTTGCCAGAATTTATGCGCAATGTTTACTGATGCAGATCCACTGGGATGGTAAGTTTCGCTGCGCATCACTAAAACCAACACGACGAATAGCATCCAATGTCGCGATTTCTTCTTGCTTGATTTTCTTTGGGTACGTTTTCATTCTTTACGCAGACTCGTCGGCCGAAAGAGCACGAAATCGACGGGAAGGACTATCACTTCACAAAGCGGGAACACCTGAAGGCGGAAATTTCTGCCAACAAGTTTTTGGAGTCATCCGAGGTGGCCTCCATGCAGGGAGGGCTTAGCATGTACGGCACTAGTCTGTCTACTGTAAGGGAGGTGGCCGCCACCGGGAAACTCTGCGTCATGGGCATGGACATCCAGGTGCGCTGTTCAACGGTTCCTATCGGCATATAGTCGAAAAATTAAGATGCATCGTGGAAAACCACCCTCCGAGCAACGCTGCATTGGCCCAACGCATCACCAGATGATACATTTTTAAGCATGAAAGGCATATCGTTGCAATGAAATATTATGTGCGTACATGTAGGATAGATGCATTGATCTAGGGCGACAGTATTAGGACACAATCCTTCGCTTAATGATTTAAAAGTCGTAAAAAGCGCGCTGTTCCATCTTGCATAATACATAATACACAGCACATATTGCCCTAATGCATCGAACGCTTCACACATCCTTAAGCTGCTGCTTCCAGTCCTCATCAGCCGGAAATCATTTCCGACATAACAACATTTCCTTTCCTTACAAAATTATGAACGAGTATTTTGATGACACATGAAGTAAGGGATTTTATTTCATCTGACTTTGGCACAATATCATTTACATACATGCACATACATGTACGCATGTTTGCACACGCACATATACATACATCGTTGTGGATGGCTTTCCAAAAAGTAAAGCATGCTTAATATGCATGCATTTTGGTATTCACTCATCATATCGGCTACCCAATGGACTCTCCGTCCCTCCATGGAGGGAAGAAGGCAAGCCTTGCAATGAACGCGCAATGTACCAGCGCAATAATTATTTACTATTAATATATTATTATATACGCATTAATTGCAAGCGATGCCAGTCGGCATCCCATAAATTCGCACGAATGGCTTGTTGCAAACAATTATCTCCTTTACCGAAAGTTTTTTGTTGACATCAATATCACGAGTACATTATGGATGACAGTGGCTTAGATCTGCATGTGAGATGAGGTAACGCTACATTGGCAGGAGAGCATTGGGTTGATCTGGGCGTACGTAGGCAGCTATGAGCTGATGGAAGCACTGCATTGCTAAATTTCTGCTTTGACATATCGAGGATGATTTTTTGCGAGCAGGGTGTTCGCGCTCTTCAGTCCAACAAGCGCGTGGATGGCTTGTACATTTACCTTGCCGCACCTTCCATAGACGTGTTGGAAAATCGGCTGAGGGGCCGCCGGAAAGAGGCCCGGTCCACTGTCGAAAAGAGGCTGTCGTGGGCGCGTTCACAGGTAGGGTGGGCACACATGGAGCTGACTCTGAATAAAACTGAGTAATCTCGGTTTGAGGCGCTAGGACACCAACTATGGAACATCACGGCATTCCAACTACCTTCATATCGTTTGAATTGAGACATCATTTCTGATACTGTGCTCTTCCAAAATTTGGCATCGAAGCAGATGTGATTCAATAATGTGCAAAGTACTTAGGTATCTTTAGAGGAAATATAAAACATGGCGGTCATGAATTTTGCCGTGTCACTAAGATCTTAGTTACTGTACATGGCTCCAAACAAAAAATGAATAATTTCTATGCCTCGCGAGGCCTTGCGATCGCAAGAATGCATCGTATGCAAATGCCGCGTAATCCAAATGACTCCATTGTGCTTTTATAGGAAAGTAACGCATATTTGTACCGGAAAAACGTGCTTGCAAGACAATTTCCATGCCTTAGCACACCATCGCGAGCTTAGTTGTGCTGTTCAGATCGACAAGGCCAGCAAGAAAAAGCTCTTTGATCACGTGATAGTCAACGGCGAGATGGAAGCGGTGTACATGGACTTGAAGGAAGCCATATCTACATTGAGCCCTATCATAAGGAACAGGATAAGGGGTCTTCCTTCCTACGTTCTGGACTATTCCGACTTGATCCCTTCAAACAGGTGGCCATCAAAAGCGAAATATTGGCCATCGCGCATGTTTTTTTCATGTGCATTAATGGATATGAATTTCGGCAAGGTGTGCTTCAACCTCATTTAAATAAATAAATATAATGCGAAACAGATGAATAAAACAAATAAAGACATCTAAAAATTAGGGAAATTAAAGAAAAACATCATTCGTACACTATTAATTCTGCGTTGATGTGAACTGCGTTGAAATATACAACAAAAATGTACGATAACAGCATTTTTGGTGCCATACCCGTCGAATCGCAGCTTATTAGGGGCGCATGCGCGTGGAATCTTTCAATCCATTCTTGTGATTAAGATATATCCTAATTCACCTGATAATCTTCGAAGGCATTCTCTGCAACCACCGACGCGCTGCGCTGAGCATTCGCACAAGCAGAATGCGCCATCTTCATACTGCTGTGAGAGGACACCCCTACTATCGATCACAAGCTGATTTTGCACTGCATGCGCTGCACATATTTCCATTATCTTGAAATTCTGTTAATTCTTTTTCATTGCCTAAATGTATAATTTCCTGCATCGGATTTTTGTCACATATATCCCCAAAGAAGGATTTTCTATGCGATTTCGCAATTCTGCTGTTTGAAATTCCAGAATTTGGAATTCTTTCGTTCATAAATTTGCCACAAAAATCATGTCTGTTTTCCTCAATTAGATTTACATTATCGCACCAATGAAGTCCGGGCGAGAATCTAGCAGCTCAAAGGCAATCCAGCTCTTGCAAATAAAACTATCTTCCGAGTTCTCTAGGAACGGTACGATCAGAGCATAATAAGGCATTATTTTTATTTACGCCATTTGTTGCAACTGACCATCCTATTTCCTCTTGCCTTCCCTTTTGCATGGCAGTGTCGAAAAGCCATTCCTCAAGCCAGTGATTCTGTGTGGACCCACAACGGGCGAAAGAGAAGAGCTCGTCGACAAGCTTGTGCAAGAATTTCCTGACGTATTTGGACTGCCGAGGTACCACACGACGTCCACTGAAAGAGTTTCGGACGCCGAGGACGGCACCTTAAGAGAAGGTGCGTATCAGGTGAACTCCTGGCGCCATTTTGTCCGAATGGTAACCAAAACTAGTGTTGCTTCTTGCAACCCAGTACTGGTATATACCAGTATACACTAGGATAAAAAGGGCCAAATAACACGTGTTTAAACGTGTACAAAGTTTACGGGTTTGTGTTACTGTTGTGTTCTTAGCGTGCAGAACTTTGATGAAATGTGTTTTGTGTGTTTTCGCAAAAGTGTTATTTGGCCCTTTTTTCCTAGTGTATATCTTCTCGCATCCCGGCTTACTATTTGCATCCCAAGTACTGGGAATGCGAGTGGCTCGACATGTACGGGCATTGCCGCGGCTGTTCTCTGTCTCCACAGTTCCCCAGTTGAAGAGCTCTTTGGCACGCGAGCTCGATCATTATGCTCTGCGATATACTTTATGTGCCCTTGTACTTGCGGTGAAGTCAGTCGCATGATATAACTAATCGAATTTTGGTTCACTTTGATTAAACAGTAGTTACAGGTAGCAGCTATCAGTTTTGATAGCTCCGCACCGCTTGGTGATTCATACGTTCGTCACCATCAGCGCATTGACACGTCCCGAAACTCATGCCCCGATGCGCCCCCTGCAAAGCGTCTGCAAGCGCGTATGTCTCCATCAGATGGCCATCCTGAAAGAAATTTATCACAGCAGGGTGCGGAAAGGGCAAGGAGTGTGAGGAGTTCATGCAGGGTGGGATTCCCGAACCCGTGGTGGTCACCAAGGAGGAGTACGACGCGCTCGTGGACAAAGGCGACTTCCTCGTGCACCACAGCGACTTGCACGTCCACCCCCTGGTCCAGCAGCACCACGGCGTGACAACCGCAGACGCGGCGGCGGTCCTGGACGGCGGCAAGCTGTGCCTCATGACGGGGGAGGCCGAGGAGGCGGAGGAGATGAAGGCCAAGGGGGTGGACTGCCTGGCGATCTTCTTCATGCCGCCCTCGCTGGATGTGAGAGCTATCCACTAAACTGCTATCCCTTTTGTGCAAAGGCTTCGGCTTTACAGGTTATGCTCCATCTGTGGTGTGTCCATATTGTTAGTCCCAATTTTCATCGGCCGCTGAGGGCAACCACTGTAGTAGCTGGAAGCGATCGCGACGTAATTCAATGCGCTCGAGCCATTTCGGATAAAGTGGGTGCCGCGCACTTGAAACAAGGCATTCAGAACGAATTGAATGTTGTGTGTTCATTCTAGGAGTTCGGATTGCGTTGATGCCGGCAGCGATGTGGCAGCGTTCCGTTATTAGCTACGGGGGATGCAATGCGACATTGCGTTGAAATCTCGCGTTGACTTCTGAGGCTTTAAATGCCCCTAAGGCTTACTTCGGCAGGCGACCTGTGCATTTCTGCATTCCATCCAACCTAAATTGCTTGGGTTGCTGACGGATCCTTGATCCGCTGCAGGTTTTCGAGGAGCGTTTGGACAAGTGGCTATCGTATTCTGACGAAAGTGTGACGGCTACGATACAACAAGCTGGGAAAGATCTGGAACACGTTGAGGCTTCCAAAGTGTTCGACAATGTGGTAGTGAATGATGACATTCGCGACACATTGGATGAGTTGAAGGATGTAATATCGAAGCACCGACCGGATATCCTACCTCCCCAAAGCGAGACGCCTGATGAAGGCTATAAGGTTATAATTTACCCTAAGATGGATTCAATGATTCACGGAATATGCATCGGCTGATTGCAGCCATGTGCAAAGATGTACGTCAACATGAATTAACAAGGAATAAATAAGCAGAGGGATAATCATACCCTTGTTCTCCATGTTCAATTATGTACAAATAAGTGCAGATAATGAGATGGCGCGATCCTCGCGCATCAAAAAGTGCGATTTAAAGGCATTTTTTATTTCTGGCACATTAATAAAGACAGTTCAGCTCCTTTTCCTCAGATTTGTGCGGATTTGTTTCAATTACCTTATCTATGCACTTCCGTTGTTTCTTCCCCATTTCTTCATTGAGTCTTCAGCATTGAAAATAATATCATAGCGAATCAACTGACCAAATGCCACCATCAAGCTAGCAATTGAGCTCAGCTCATTATCATTACCATAAATTATGCAACGCCCTTCTTCAAACCGTGTTCGCAGGCATCCCTCTTCGTATGCTGTCCATCTCCCGCCACGGCGCAGCACCTCCACGACCGCATCTCCGCCGCCTTCCCCGGCAAATTCGCGAGGCCTTGGCTTCACACCACGCGCACGCCGGAAAAGGGCGAAAAGGGCGGCGCTCACTTCGTCAAGAGGGAGGCGCTGGAGCAGCTCCGGGACAACGGGAAGCTCCTGTATGCGCTGCAGAACAGCGGAGGGTGGGACGAAGGCGTTGCTTGGGACAGCGTGGGGGATGTCTGGAGCGAGGGGGCCACGCCGTTCGTCGTCTGTCCCCTGTCGGGGGTGCAGGCCGTGAGGGAGAGGCGCCTGGCTGGGGCGCTGTGCATCTTCGTGGCACCTTCGGACCCGCAGGTTTTGAGGGGGTTTGGACGCAAACGTTTGGCGATGTTGTCGTTGCGTTACATTGATACATGGCATCACGAGATTTGTACGATGCGCGATTTAGGCACTGGTAAGAATAGGCTCAAATGCACGGTTTTGAAAATCGTGTACCGTGTCACACGACCGGAAATCGTGTAAATTTGTGTTAATTTTTATACTTGCAGTCCAGAAATTGTGCCAAACCGTGTAGTAACGATCGAGTGAGTGTACATAATTCTCACACGTTTTGGCGCGATTTTGCGCGGTTTTAAGCGAATCAAAGCTGGGTACTTTGGCCCATTTTTTCCTTGTGATACGGTACGTAGACCTCGTGTCAGTGATGATTTGATTACATTAGGATATAATATATACATTAGGCTCGGATTACGCATCAATCAGATATCAGTTGGACGTGTCAGGAAATTTATGTTGATTCGCAATCAGATACGTAATTGGACAACCTCAACTTGGGCTGCTGGCAGCTGCTTATTTCGAAATTTTCAAGCAAGATAGCTCTGTGCTGTAGCGCAGAGCGCTTTGTTGTACATACCATCTGTATGCACAAACCATGCTCTGTGCAGTGATGCAGCCAGCCACATTATACTTTCAATAATTAAAGTACCCTTCAGCAAATGTGCCAAGCGTTTCCACGTCAATACTTAGCCACATTTCAGGAACTTTAAGTAGAAAATTTGTCCAGAACTCTGCTTTTGTTTGTTATGGGGACAGCGGATCCTGTTTTCCCAATGTGGCAGGCCCTTGGTGAGGAACTGCTGGACGCCATGGGCCTGTCCGAGGAAGATATCCAAGAGCGTGTGTCCCAGGCCCTGAGGGACACAGAGGATGCCAAAAGGCCAAAGCTGTTCGACAGTCTCTTGGTCGCCGATGATCCCGACGTTCTCTTCGCGGATGTGCGAGACGCCATAGCCGCCAGGTTTCCCAACATCGCCAGTCCCTCACACTTGCCGCTGATCATTGGCGGCCCGTTCGGTGCGTCAAATTTCGGCCAGGAGTACATGTCAGCGCATGATCAAATCCTGTTATTATATTTGTCACATAAACATGGCAAAACACTACACTTGCACCTTAAAGGTGGTGTTGAGCGTGAATTCCAGTTCAGTGTTGCTGATCTTATCTCATCGTTTGTTCGTTGTCAAGCGCATGCGTTTACCGAACCAAATGAGGGCAAAGATTCATTGGGGACCGCATTACGTTTGTCTTGGAGCACCGTTACTGCATCGAGACTGCTCTTCAATGCGTCAGCGGAATTGCTGCAGCGATGGCCATCAACGCTGCATGAATGCCGGCCATTCCGCGGATGGCGTAAGTACGGGATGGGGTGAAAGCGAGAAAGTATTGATATTATTACACATTCTGCAAATGCTGCGCACGTTTGCCTTCCTAGTACATTTGGCAGGTTTCCTGGTAGATTAAGAGCATTGTTGCACAAAACATTGCACATGACGTGGAAAGAAGACTTGGTGCCTTCATTTGTGTCCAGGCATAGGGAAGAGGCAGCTGCTCCAAAGACTTTTCGACCAGTATTGCCGAGAGTTCGTGACGCCTGTTGTCACGACCACGCGGGCGCAGCGCGAAATCGGGGCCCAGGAAGATGCCTTTGTCACGGAGGACAGAGAGGCCATGGAGAGGAACGTGCAGAATGGCAAATACCTATTCCACCATGAGGTGATGGGCGACATATACGGTGAATTCCCATTTCCGGAATGTCCGTAGCAAAATATATCTCAGACAACCGGCGACACACTACAACTGCTGTTTCGCTCGCCACAAACGCCTGGAAGCCGAATTGCGCAACTTTCTGAATAATTCAGCCACGTGTGCGCGTAGATCACAAATGTTAGGCAATTGTGTTGTCTGCCAATTTCAAACCGAATTTCAGTCCAGCTTGTTCAATACCGGAGGACAAGTATGTCTCAAGAATCTATTTTCCAGATTGGCAAATCCATGTAATATAAAATGGCAGACATAAGAGAACCGCATGCCCTCCTTCGTTGACCTTCTGTGCGCCTCGTACATCGCTGCAGGAGTGAAAAAGTCGGCCATCCGTAAGATACAATCGAAGGGATGCATCTGCGTACTGGACATCGACAGAGCAGTGGACATCGTGCATCTGAAACAACAGCAATTTGAGGCGAACTATGTGTTCATTGGGCCGGAGAGCATGGAAAACATGCACAGTCTGCTTTCCGAAGAAATCCTTTCGAATCCTCCTCTGGTAAGATGCCGCACGCATATGCCATGCCCCGAATCCAGGCTGCCATTTATCTGGAAAAGGCTCACTATTGCGCTGATTTAGCGAGGCAGCGCATTCACAGGTTCCAGCACTTTTCTGCTTTGGAGTCGTAAGCACGACAGCAAATGCGTTGATGCGATCCACAGTGACTCCCCAAGCATCTCAAATTCGCTGCTACAACTCTCAGTTTGTCGCATCGAAAGATTGTTTACATGTCTCAACGCTTTTTCCCGACCCAGCAGCGGAACCTCGAACAATCGACGAGTGTCTATCGCTGGGCAAATATTGAATTCTGAACCGTGTTCAATAGTATTCGACTGCCCCAGAGCTGCGAATCAGTGACAGTCCGCCGAATGCCTACAGGGCTACGATCCCGAAGAAGCGCTGCAGATTTTCTACGACTCCGCCAAGCTGGAAGTGGAGGCGGCGGAAGGCTCCGACGTTTTTCAATTCCACATCCCCAACCGTCCCAACACGGAAGCCTCCTACTGCCGCCTGGCGGAGGCCATCAGCTCCTTCTACCCCGGCGTCCTTCCCGCCAGCAACGTGTGGGGATTCGGGCGGCCGCTGTGGGACAAGAGTTGCCGGGTGCATGGCCACCGGCCGCTGCGCATCATTGTGGTGGGACCCGCCACCGTGGGCAAGACCACGCTGTGCCAGAGGCTGCGGGACCATTTCGGCGTGCCGCACATCAGCGCCGGAGAGCTCTTGTACAAGGAGGTTCAGGAGAGGACGCCTATCGGGCTGGAGGCCAAGAAGTACATGGACGCGTCGGAGACCGTGCCGGACCACATATTCTTGGAGGTGGTGACGTGCAGGTGGCACTTGGGAGTGTCCATGCGAAACAGCGATCCGAAACCAATGTGTAAATTGACTTGCAGGCGCTTCCCAGAGAATCTGCAACATTTTTTGTGTTGAAATTTGTCATTAAATCGGTGGCCAAAGCAAAAGATTGATACGAGACACCCTTCGACGCATGGTCAGGAGAACACGCTCATCCCCCCATGTGATGCAGTGGCACTTTCATTTTGACGTCCAGGTGGACAGGTTTTTGTTTGAGTAGTTGTCGCATTCAATCAAAATAGTCATTTTCACAAATTCAAATGGTGCGCACACATTACCGTGCCATGATTCTTCAAGTGCGGTTTGTTGGGTACAGGCAAATCGCTGAAAACACACAGGCCAGCATTTTCAAATAAAAACTGCGGCTTTGCAATCTGGCTTCTCCGCGCATCGGAATTCCAAAGTATTTGTAACGTCAAGTGTCCCTTATTCCACCAATCAAGCCCACTCAATGCCAAGCCGCTCTTCGCCACTGTCTTCTGTAGGTTGCGGAAGCCTGACTGCGACAACAAAGGGTGGCTCCTGGATGGCTTCCCCCACACCCAGTCCCAGGCCATGGGACTCAAGCAGCAGGGGTTCCTGCCAGACAAAGTGATCTTCCTTGAGAGCGAGCACGCTTTGCTGTTGAACAGAGCGAAGCACAGAAGGGTGGACGCGGCGACGGGTCAGGTGTATCAGGTGCGCGCGTGGGTGCCTAAGCAGCGAGTCTGCAAACCAAATTATGTCTACAAACCATTAATTGCATTGCGCATCTCTGAGGACCTGCCCTTCAACATTTCTTCGGGTCTTTCCCGCTTTGCAGCATTACGTAACCCCAAACAGAAGGCATTTTGAATTGAAACGTTTTTCAACAATATGCTATTGTTTTGCAATGTGAGTGAGGTCTTGTGGGGAGGCAATTGAATTTTTCACGGTTCGACAATAGTATACTCTGCCCATTCGTCGCCACCATTTCATGCATTCAGTAAAAATGCATGGATCGAGACTTTACAGAATTCTTACGGAAACATAATATTCATCATTGATGGAATTTGGCATGTGCAGAACCACGAATGTCATTTCACGTGCTTGCAAATTTTCAAAATCGGCTAAACGCAATTAGTTCAACACAGCCGCTGCTGGTGAGAGTGCTTCAAGGCATCATCCGTCAATTCTCGACACCTCGCAACATAACCCAACCAGGTGGCAAGCGAACTTAAATATGCAGACAGCAAGCGAATTATACAACATAAGTACTGAATCAATATAGGAAGAATATAATCATTCACCTGCTCTTGCGTAATTCCCATTCGCCTATGCGCACTTCCCTGTGTTGGGGTTTCAGGTGCCTGAAGGCAGCAAGAAGCCCGCCTCAGGCGCCGTGCTGCCGCTTCTGGCTAACGGCAAGGTGGACTCGGAGGCGATGGCCCGCCTAACGGTCCGCCACGATGACCTCGAGGATAACGTGCGCAATCGTCTAGCTCAGTACGACAAGCACCGCCAGGGTCTGAGGACGTCATACGCTGATGTGTCGCTCACCGCGCCCGGCGATGGAAATGCGGATGATATCTTCTCGCAGGTGTGGCGCAGGTATTTCACGATAACTTTCGGTTTCAGTGGGGAGGAACTAACGGGAAACAGCGACGGATGAGGTCCACCACCGGAAAACTGCACCATCATACACACCAGGCTTGGTTTTACGCCGTAAAAACTGATCTTACTTACATGTTTACGTGTAAAAATGCGTAAAAATAGGTAATACAAAGTAAAAACTGCCCATTGTACAGATGGACAGTACATACAGACCTACGGAGTTCGGGAAGTGGCAGCTAGGCGCCCTGGAAGGGGCAGAAAACGAGTTTTGCTTAAGCGCTATCATCACCCTTGCCTAGGGTGAGGTGGACATTGTTTTGCGTATGCTGCAGATGGCGGAGAACGGATCATTGTACGCAACTTTCATCGCATAACCTGGATGTCCCAGAGAGCCGGCAAAACGCAAAAGTAGCCGTAAAAATAAGGCCTTATGCAAATTTATGTTTTTACGCGTAAAAACGTAGAAGTAGAAGCGCAAACGTAAACGTAAAATCCAAGCCAGATACACACGTCCATATTTAAACAGACCGCCCTTGACTCATGCAAATCGCGCGCTTTTCACGCGATCACTTTCAAGGTAAAGTAAACTGCCATGACCAAAATGCAAGCTCGTCTCACGTTCGACTCTTGGTGTTGCGTTTTGCATTTGCTCCCTGTTTCTACCATGTTCAGGTCGTGGAGTTTGTGTCTGTGGAGCACACCCACGCCGAAATCGACACGGTGGCTTCCTCTTCCCTCAAGGACGCCCACCACACGATCGTTGACGTCTTGAAGTTCAGGGGTGGGTCCCTGGTCCGCCTGCGTCAGGCGGACGGCAAGATGGCCTGGGTCGACATGTACGAGCTGGAGGCCAACGCGAGGTGCATCGTGCTGCACCAAAACGCCGCCGTCTTTCCCCATTTCGGTAAGGCCGTTCGAGACAGCGAGGCCGCCTTCACCGACCAGACTCTGCTGTTTGTGGAGTCCCTTGAGCCCATCAGGATACTGTCTTCGCTGTTCGTCGGTCCCCAGTTCGTGCCCGAGTGCCCGAAGAAGGAGAAGGCCGTGTTGCTGGCTGTTTGCGGCTCGCCCAGCGCCGGCAAGAGCACCCTGGTGGACATGCTGGTGCGGGATTATCCGGACAAGGTGGAGAAGTGCCGGCGTGTCGTAAGAAAAAGGCCCGGGGCCCGGAAAGCAGCCAGCGCCGCAGCGCCGGATCAGCTGAAGCACACGTCGCAGGAGACCGCCCGGTCGACAGAAGGGCCCCAGCCGGAAGGCGCCCTGCTGCGGTACGAGATCCTCGACGTCGAGTGCTTCGTGACAAAGGAGGAAGTCGACCGAGCGACGTCTTCTGGGAAGCTGTGCCTCCTGGAGATGGACATTTGCGGCGTGGAGGGGCTCAGGCAGGCGCTGCCGGACTGCGTGTGCGTGCTCCTGGACGAGGAGATAGGAGCCCTGGACGTGAGAATGCGGAACCAGGGCATGACCAACGAGGAGGTCATCCAGGCTCGCCTGCGCCAGGCTTCGAGGGACAGGGCCCGCGGGCCCGGTTCCGACGCCTTTTCCCACGTCATCAGCTCGGGCGACGTCGTGAAGCGCTACGCCCAGCTGAAGGAGGTCGTCTCCAGGCGCTGGCCCAGGGCGGCGTCCTCGACGGAGGGACTCATGGTCATGGAGGCCTTCGATTGGGGCGCCCCCGGGACTGGCCGCACGGAGAAGCGGCTCACCGCGGTGTCGACGAACGCCACCACCGTCGAGCTCCCCAGGGGGGCCCACATGCTGCGGGTGCACACGGACCAGGAGATCCTCCACGCCGCCAGCTTCTGGTCCCGCAGCCCCTTCCGCGTCGGCAGCTACAAGGACATCCTGCAGGAGAGGGGGGCGCTGAATGTGCGGCAGTTCGACGGCGAGCACCCGCGCATGGAGGCCGGGCAGCACGCCGTTCTGTTCCGTTACAATTTCTCGGTGGCGGATGAATGCTTCGTGGAGGCGCGTGTCGTCGCGAACGTGGAAGGTGTTCAAAGGTGAGGGCTGTCGGGCCAAGGGGCCCATGTCTGCCGAGTCCAATGCGTTGCACATTGCTTCGCTTCTTGCGGCAACGGGGACTTTTGGAGTTTGAATCCCGACGTGGGGCTTTCACTGAATGGTTAAAACACGCGACTACCAGTTATCTATATGATCGTGAAACTGCAGTTTTCGATGTTTGGTACGTTATGTTCCTGCAGGGTAATGAATTTGTTTTCTTAAGGATTTTCAATCTCATCCACTGAACGCATCAGATTCGCATTTATGATGAGCATCAATTTTGTCGAACCAGGCTCCTTAAATAACCAAAAATTCCCGAAAATTTTCGGGCAATTCTGTGCATACGAAAGGAGCAGTGAACATCGTAGAGCATGTAGTTGTTTGTGAAGCATGTTGAAGACCATGGGGTAGACATGCATTTGATTTCCAATACGTACGTACTATTTGAAAATGCGATCCTTGAATGGAGCTGAACGCACGTTTCTATGACGTGACCCTGAGAGTACCTGTGGTCACTGTTACGACATTTTGGAGCCCATTGGTGGCGATACACTGGCTGACAATGTGTGCAATTTTGTGCTTAAAAATGCACCCACCGGAGGCTGAATCGCGAGAGGCGGTTTGCGTTCAGATTCGTCGGACTTTTCGTCGTGGACAACGACGACAACGAGGGTGAAAGGTTCAATCTAGGAAGGACGCCTGCGCTCAAGTACAGACCCAATAGAAGCGGATACTCGGTTCTGGGAGTGGCGCACTGTGGGCTGCACATCGAAGAAGGCAATTGGCGATTAACCTTTACGTCCAGCAAAGCGCTGACATTCGCCGACACTCTCGTATCTAGAATCGTGAAATTCGATGGGCGATACGAGCGCAACCGCAGGCTGATCGCGTGCAGGTCCGCACTACGATTTTCTCCTGTGTATAAATGCACGCACATGGATCGTATCTTCCATTTCATAGCACTATATATGATCACTTCGTTGATCGGTCGATGCGCTTCAAATGACCAGTGACTATAGGTCCTTTCGCTTACCGATCGCACCTTGCCAGGAATCATTGCTGGCATATCAGTCGGCAACTCTGCATTTGATTACTATTGAGATTCGCCATATTAATTCCGGCAGTGGCAGATTTGGAAAACCTAGTTTCAAACAAGGTTTACTACGGGCTTGTCTAATTGCGTGGCTCACTGCTATGCTACAGCGATCAAGGAGTTTTCAGTGTAGACTTAGTGAGCCCCATGTAGCAAAATTCAGAGATACGATTTTTGACGATTGAAATTTGTTTTGGGTCTAAGATTATTGGTACTGTGAGCACAGCAATTGATGGGTGCTTGAAATAATGCCGTAAAATGCATCAAGGAAACTGAGCTGCACTTGCGCCATCACTCCTTCTACACAAGGGGCTATGGAATATCAAATGAATCGAATCCCATATTTTTTTAAAAAACCACGAAATTATACCCATGGCTTTCAAGAAAACGTCGTTCGGAGGACCTTCGTATAATCGCCTAAAGGGTGAACCTGCTCATCTTCTGGGATGTTTGCGTATGTAATTGAATGTTTATCATTGGCCTAAACATTGCAATCATTGAATGTTGATGCAACAGCTGAAATTGTTTCTTTCCTTTTCCTGGCAGATGCGCACTGAAGCCGTCCATGCCCTCCCAGATTTCTCTGCGGGTGAACACCAACCCCACCTCTCGATTACTAATATCGATCCTTCGGCCAGAACAAGGAGGAGAATTTTGTTGGACGGCCAATGGCGAAAGCGTTTTTCAACGCTCCGGGCAGTCCGGAATGTTTCTGCCGGGGATATCTTTGGCCCCCGGAAGCTACATGTTGCAGATTGCGCTCGACCCTGCGTGGATTTCCACAGATGCCAAGGGTGGTGACAATGTGGATTTGGAATGGGGCGTAGAAATAACGCCAACGGCTGACGACAAACTCTTCCCCATTGCCTTGGACAACTCCAAAGAGCAGTTTGCAATGGTGAGCAGGGAGGGGAGCCTTACATTAGTACTGATACAGACCTCAGATCAAAGTACTGGCAACACCGTTACTCTTTATAGAGTTTCCAGGCCAGCCACTGAGATCACGCATTTGTATGTGCAGGTGAGCCTGGGCCGTTGGAACGAGTCAGGTAAAGGGGGCCCGAAAGATCGACCTAAGCGAGCTGCCGAAGCTTTGGAAACATTCCATTCCAACAGGGAGGATGAAGCAGAGGATGGTACCAGGATTCGACAGGTACATTAGTTACGTTGCGGCAACTGAATGTACAATTTGGAAGGAAAATCATGCTGGCAGAGATTGAGACATTGCACGGAGCCTTTGCACCGAATTGCTGCAGCAGGTGCTATCAACTTGGGCCTTGGGTGGATGCGTGCGCGAGCGACTAGCAATTTTTCATGAATGACGACTTAACGCGAAGCATTGGAGAATCATTCACAATTTTGCACAGCTTCTGGCCATCCACCTGAGTCAAAAGAGCGCAACTTAAATTTGCCCTGACTTTGGGCGGGTGGCGGAAAAATATTGACTTGTGGGAGTGGCCCACGTGGTATATCACCCTGGGCCATCCAGCATTATGAATATCAACCGTAGGTTGGCACGAAACGTGATGCTGTCGTGTTTCCTGAGTTTTGCATTTGCACCAAATCTAGATATCATATACAGAAATTTCAAGAAATTATGTAAAGTTAAGTTCATCTGAAACAGCCACATAACTTTCTTGCTTGAACGTGGCGACATGCTCATTGGGAATTCTCGCGTTGTACCACATCTTTGCCAATCCCCTGACTCACGTTTGGACAGATCGGAAAAGAGGAGACGATGGAGCTTGATCCCGCGTCTCACACGAAGCTGAATGGGGCTGAATCAGACAGCGGACGCAATGTAGATGCCCCTATAATCAGCGAGAGGTGGGTCTGCATCGCAGAAGTTTCAGGCACGCCACGGCAATCACTTATTAACTGAATGAATCAACAAATCCTTAAATGCTAGCCTTCAGACTATCTCGCTCGGACGTAAATTTCCCAGGTTTCAAAGAATAGTTTGCAAACTGATAAGAAATTTTACGACAGTTGGTCATGATAGAAAGAAGCCATGTACGGCTTTTTCAATTTAGCTTTGACATGTTGCAGTGTCACTCTTAGCTAAGCTATGACACATGGCGACCTTCGAAATGATCTACTCCTAGGCTTTTCCCCGGGCTCGTGCATTGCGGGGAGAGAGCAAGTGTCTCTATACTGGTTGACTCCAACACTGCGTTGAAACATCAGACACAGAAATGTGGTGACATGGACTTTGGAAACACGGGTTTTTCCTTCTACCCAAGCTCCACAAGATAGAATTTTAACTATCTGCTAATTAATTCTTTTTCATCCCAAATTTTCAGGGCTTCGCAGCTGAATGGCAAAGACAGATTCGAAAACCAACAGTCGGGAGGCCTCGAAGAGATTGAAGCGGCAAGAAAACAATCTGTGCTAGAAAAGGTGAAATTTAAACATCCAAAAATCTTATTATTTACATTTTCACTTGAGACCAACGATATTCGGCGGAATGTTTGTTGTGCTTGAGACGTGAAATCGAGGATAGAGCACCAATCGCCACTAAGATTGATAACCGCACTTACACAACACAACTGTATGGACATCGCTTCACCATTCATGTTATGCATGGCCATTTACTCAATGTTGAAGAATTCATCATGCTAGTGCAGTTTTGCACCACATGGAAATTCCCGACTTGGAAAGATTGAGGTAAAAGGCAATATCATATAAAAGGGATACATTGTTTTCCGTTGATATGGTCGATGCAGCTTGAAAGCACCATAACATCAAAATTTGTCTATATGCCAGATTGAGGGCACCTCATACAAAATGTGCCATACCATAAATTTAGAAGCTTAACAAACTTATAAGAGCATAATTTGTTTCTTTCATACTCAGATTTCGTGTGTATATATGCACAAATTGTAAGTATATATTTACAATTCATACAAATCTGTTGTGTGGCATGGATTCCATGAAGGACACGAGTTTGTTGACATCCTCATTGAGCATCATTTTGTAGAGGCTCACTGATTTTGTGGGCATATGAATCAGCTTTCAGAATTAGAGCAATCAAGGCAAGTCGCTTTGGAGCATCAGAAGGCCTTGGATGAGACACTGAGGATAGCTGGCATGCCCCGCAACAACTCCATAAAGCAAGGGGCATAGATCATTGGCGCACCCTGACATTTGGAAGTTGGAAGCAGCACTACGCGGATTTGGGATTCGTTACTATCTGATAAAATACTCATCTATCTATAGTATTGCTCCACTACCAAGAGTGGCTCTCGTTGGTAGTGCCATAAGAGTCCCTAGGGTTTTGGTGCTTTTTTTGTACGAAAAGTACAATGCAAACTTGGGCATATCACAGTGGCCTAAATGGACGGCGTCTGTGCCATGGGGGCGATCAGATGAAAGATTACTCATCGCCATTGGATAGTCCTTGGCATTATCAGGCATATGCATAGGCAAACTATCGATTCTCATAGATTCGCACAATTTATTTAATAACTAGACCTTTTTGAACAGTTCTTGGGGACTTGGCTTTGATAGTAGATCTCTTGTATGCGTATTTTAATGTTGTGTATCTATTGCAATAAATACACATCGATAGCTCAATTCGAACATTGATCATCCTTTCCGGTGTGTCCACATATATATGTCCACTATGTAGTGCCATGCCTTGACATTATGCTGAAATTAAGTTGTTTTCAGATCATCTAAGCAGATGTTCCAATTGACTATTCAAAAACACTTTTGAAAGTGGAGGCCAAAACTTTGTTAAAGATGGAATGAATTTGAAAGCAAAACTAACAAAATATCTTTGATGATGTAACGCTCTCACAATATGGCAATGATAATCTGCAGAATATGTATTGTACCACGCAGAAGTTGGCATTATTTTTGAGAGCTTTAGACACAATAATTTTTTAAGAAATCCAATTGGCTAATAAGGCATACAATATTTAAGCTTTATTTATAATTTAAAACATAATGAAAATTCGCAGATGGTTGTTAACTTGCTTCTTATATCCCTTATATGCACATCATCGAGCTTCGAGCAACTGAGTTGCAAGTTGCCATTATGGACTTTACAATAATTGTAATAATTATTGTGGGTATTACTGTGCAAAGATACGCCGTACACACTATTGTACCATAATCATCGCACTGTTGTATCATAATGCAACAACAATTTTCAATTATGCCCATGACTCCACTGCAGCTATTATGTTATGGGCCGCCCTATATGTGTGATTTTCTAGTTGGGAGTTTCTTAAAGTGCAAGCTCACAGGTGGCGAAGCAATCACCTATACATGATACATCGCGATGCAGCACATCGAATGCGTTGAGAAGCTCCCTATATATCTCCTTTATATCAATATGTCAACCAATGTTATACCTCTTTATGAGCCAATTAATTGCCCTTATTCCATCCATGGTTATGGATCCCATCCATTGCGGCAATGGTATTGCCACTAGATATTTTGTGTCATTTTTGTTGCTGTCACACTCATATATAAACAACAACACATCAAAACCTATGTAGCCTGCATAACACAGCTTTTGATAAACCCCTGAATGGAGGTTGTATTAGGTCAACATCAACCTTATTTCCCTTCCCATATTATAGAAGGACAACTTGGCCAATCAGGGTTCTTTGGCTGGTTCCAAAAACAACACATTTCCTCTATTCCTCTACTCTCTTGCCATTTTCCAATTGGGCCAAACAATTTTTGGTTCTATTTGTTACATTCTTCTACACCATTCGTGACACACACTACGCATGCAGAGACCGACGGTCTCTGTCACGGCGTGACAGAGATGGAGACATGTCGGGATTGGCCGGCTGTATGTGTTGGGCATAGCCAGGGTCTCCGCAAATACGGACACCACTTTCCGGACTACAATGTCCGTCTGCGTGACCGTATGCATGGCTGTATCGGGAACAGCACACATTCTCCATTGCCACAGAATTGAACCGTGCCCTTCAACGGATGAATCTTGACCTTGTGGCTGATGAATGCTGCCCTTGGTGCGCGAGGGCGATGGTAGGACCTACGTTTGGGGGGCTCAAAGGCAGCATTCATGTCTAACCACTCTGCCTTCATTGCCCCCCACCACCCTCTCGCGTTGAGGCCTTGGCTCCGCGCGCGGCGATTGCGCCCCCCGCCCGACGCCCCCCCCCGCCGCGCCCCTCGACCACGCCCGCGCCGGGTGCCCACCGCCGCGGGATGCAGCCCTCGTGGCTGCACCGCGCCGTCTTCTGCGCCCGGCGGTGCCTCCCCGCATCCTCCCGCCTCTCCAGTAACCCCAATTGCCTCCCGTCCGAACATGCCTCCACGCGGTCCGTAGCCAACGCCGCGGCGGAGCTCACGCCCGAATCCCCACCCGGTCCAAATCTCCCCGTGATGCTGAAGACCAGACGCGTGCCGATTATGCTCTACGCGCCTCCGGAGGAGGTGGAGACGGAGGCCCTCAAGCAGCTGATCGCGGTCGCGGAGTCCCCGCTGCCCGTGGGCTTCGTGTCCGCCATGCCGGACGTGCACCTGGGAAAGGGCGTGACGATCGGATCCGTATTCGCCAGCGAGAAGTATGTGTGCCCCAATGCCGTGGGCGTGGACATCGGATGTGGAATGTGCGCGGTGCCGATGGCGGGACTGCATAAGGACGACCTGGACATGGACAAGAAGCGGAGGATCCAGGCCCTGGTAAAGCAGCGGATTCCCACCGGGTTCAACGAGCACCGGGCCCCGCTGCCGGGCGCCTGGGAGGCGATCGATCGGATGAGCGGCGAGAAGCCGCCCACCAGGCGGCTGGAGAGGGAGATCGGGACCAAGAAGAAGATTCCGAACCAGCTGGGCACGCTGGGTGGCGGGAACCACTTTCTGGAGGTGGTGTGCGATGAGGACGGTATGGTGTGGATCATGCTGCATTCGGGGAGCAGGAACGTGGGCAACACGACTGCGCAGTTCTACGACCGGCTGGCGAGCGACCTGCTGGCCAAGAGGCGGCTCAGGAGCTATCCGGGGCTGAACTACTTGGAGATTGAGTCTGAGGAGGGCCGGCAGTACCTGCAGGACATGCTGTGGTGCCAGGCCTATGCCATGAATAACAGAATGTTCATGCGGGACATCATGATCGACGTGATGAACGAGGTCACTGGGCGGCTCCCGGAGATGGAGCGCTCCATCAACATCCACCACAACTACTGCAACTGTGAGCGCTGCCAATACACGGACCCCACCACAGGGGAGGCGGTGGACAAGATGCTGTGGGTGACGAGGAAGGGCGCCACGAGTGCACAGCCCGGACAGTATGGCATCATACCGGGCAGCATGGGTACAGGATCGTACATCACGCGGGGCAAGGGCCAGCCAAAATCGTGGAGCTCCTGCTCGCACGGAGCAGGCCGCAAGATGTCTCGCACCAAGGCCGTCAGGGCGATCCACCAGGAGGCGTTCGAGAGGGCGATGAAGGGCGTCGTGTGTGACACAAACAGAAAGGTGAGGGACGAGGCGCCCCAGGCATACAAGGACTTGAATGAGGTGATGGCCAACCAGCGGGAGCTGGTGGAGGTTGTGCACAGGCTGATGCCTTTGGTGAACGTCAAGGGTTTCTGAGCACGCTCGCCTACGCTTCCTGGAGTGATTTGTTGAGGGAGGAAACCAGTCGCTTGCAGAAGACTGACGAGTTGCTCATCCTCCTGCACACTAGGCAGTGTGGGGCTGGCGGATCGGAGTGGAGAAGGGCTTGGTGGTGTGCCACAACGGAATAAAGGGCAAGAAACAGTAGATGATGCAACAGACGCAAGGGAATGAAAAACTATTTTTGTTGGGCTCCTTGTGACATTATCCCCATTGTTTATAGTTTGGAGGTATTTTGGAAGGCCTGCACTTGATGCAGCGATTGTTTCTGCATTTGTTGAAGCTGTGTGAGTTGGCAGGCATGTGAAAAGCTCCATGGCATGACAAAGATGGCTATCTAGCAAGGACACCATGACATTAGTGTAGTGCAGGGATACATCAAAAACATGTAAATGTTCGATGTGGTTGTCCAGGCAGCAGTTGTGATGGAAACAGCATGATGGATGAATGAGATTGGCAGGGGTCATGCCGATTGCCCACCCAGAAATCTCAGTGTGTTACCTCCTTGCCCATATGGATCGGCAACGTTTGCCCATTTATTGTGCCTGCCTGGATTTAATCTTTCGGTTACCCCAGTCTGTCCCACAGTTTCTTAGCAAACTTCCTTGAATGGCCGCCATGTCCGCAATTGTTTTGAAGAACGTTCTGTCCCAAGCATTCCTGGCATCAAGAGCTAATGGAAGACACTCAGAATTGTTGTACGTCACGGTCTGATCTTGCCAAGTGGCGGGTGGTCATTTTTTACACATTTGTTGCTTGTCATCATGGCGGCAAATGCACGTCAACACCCTTAGCTATTCTGAATGACACCGATGCAGCCTTGCACAATCCCTACCCTTGCCACGTTGCCAACCTTGCAACACAGTACCGGTACTTCATTGTGTACAGCATTGTGGGCTTCCCTTGTTTTCAAATGTTCTTTAGGTGAAGAGGCACTGGGTTGTCCAGCATTATTGGAAAGGAGAGTGTCCCAAATGTGTGAAGGGTGGCAACGCCCAAAGGTGTAATAAGTGCAGAGTTCTGTTAAGCCACGAAGTCGCTCAGCGCTCAGTGGATCTGATATGGCAGAAAAACGATGTCAACCGTGCTGTGGAAGCCTGTGTCGAGCCCCAACGATCCAGCCCTCGAAAAGAGGAGTTCACTCTGCTGGAGTCCGCAGTGTTTGAGTCCGTCAAGCTGTGCGAATCACTGTTCTTTCTCCTGTTTGGCAGTGTCACAAATTCGCCCCATTAATGCTGCCAATTGAACCACAGCACCCAGCCCCATCTTCTAGGAAGTGCATCACCCACATTGCTGCACCTGGCCATCCCACCCCATTCCGCCAATCTGTGTCCCAACAGAATGGACGGATGCGCTCACCAGGCGAAAATGCGGACTGACGATTCCACCCCACGACGTACATACGGCACCTGCTGTAGTGCCTGCAATCGGAATGCATATACGTCATGTGCCTATGTTCAGGTTGGACGGCGAAGAAGACGCCTTCCCCAAGGTCTATCTGGGTACCTCAAGCGTAGGGGGCCCACAGCTCTACCAAACCACTCGGCCAGAGGAATGGAGGCCACAAAATCTCCTCTCACCCTCTAACCCAACCGTATACGATACGGTACGCGTGCGACAGTCACGATATCATACTGTGCGCCTGTGAAGACCAGTGAGAGAAAGAGATGTTACAGCAAGTGTTGTTGTAACCAGAACAGTTTGTGTATTAATAATAGCTGGACGCATTGGGAGGTGATGAGACAATGGGAACTGAATTAAGGACACTGATGAACGGACCGGGTATACAATGGACAGAATTCTTGTTGCACCTTCGCTGCGCTGTAAACCGTTGCCGTGTACTCGAGCCTACAGTCCCCAGTCAGGGGTCCCCCCTCCGACCATGCTGCCTTTTTCAGTGTCATTGTCCGTTTGTCCTTCAATGAGTAGGTGCCCGTGTAATGTTCTCTTGTGCACCCACAATACGCACACGTGTGCGCTGTGGGGGGAAAGGCTGCGGACGTCCCCGCTGGCGCTCAACCCGCAGAACCCACTGCCCGCGCCACCGCCACCGCCACTGCCCCCAGCGTTGCCCTGAAGTCGCCCTCTGAAAACGAGTCTTCGCAGCGGGCCCTCCGGAGGCGAACAGGAACGGGCGCGAGGGCCCTTTAGCCGTCCGGCCAGGCGGACGCGATGGCCAATTGACCGCGCATGGCGTCCGGCCGGTGCACGATCCGAATGACCAGGAGCCTGAGGGGCACGGCGAGGCTGCAGTGGCATCTCTTCGGGCAGCCGGGGACCTCAATCCCCGGAACCAAGCCCAGGGGTAGGGCGCGACTATCCGCGGTTCATGGACGCCAATGCACAGAGCGGTCGGAATGTGTGTCCGAATTTCCACCGGGCGCCGATCGTCGAGGCATTGCTGCGCCCGGGAAAGCTACAAAGGGGCAGGGTGCAGGGGCGGTGGAGTACGCGGCGGGGCAGGGGGCGGCGCTGGGGCGCGTTCCCATTGTGCAATGGTACCCCGGGCACATCGCCAAAGCCGAACGGCAGCTGAAGCAGCAGCTGAAGCTCGTGGACGTTGTGTTAGAGGTGAGGGACGCCAGGATTCCTGTGGCCACGTGGCATCCTGGGGTCAAGGGCTGGATTGGCAGCAAGCCCAGATTGCTGATTTTGAACCGCGCTGACATGATATCCAGGGAGGACATGAGCGAGTGGGAGGCGTACTTTGCCTCCATGGGTGAGACTTTTTACTGGACAGTTGGGAATCGGGGGGACGGGACGCAGAGGCTGGTCCGAGCGATGATGAAAGTGAGCAAGGTGGTGAATGAGAAGAGAAGGAACAGGGGCTTGAACCCAAGGGCAGTGCGGGCTTGTGTGATTGGTTTTCCGAACATTGGAAAGTCGGCTCTGATCAACAGGCTGGTGAAAAGGAGGGTGGTGGACAGCGCACCCCGTCCAGGTGTCACCCGCGTGCTTAGGTGGGTTCGAATGGGCGGGAACATTGACATGTTGGACAGCCCTGGAGTGATTCCGATGTCTTTCCACAATCAGGTGGCTGCCCAGAGGCTGGCCATGTGCAACGACATCGGGGAAGCTTCCTATGTCAGCTCTTTGATTGCGGCGCAGCTGATCATGCAGCTCCGAACGCTGCCTGCATCGGCTGCCATTTTGGAGCGGATTGGTCAGCGTTATGGAGTTGACCCGTTGCAGGGAACTGGCGAGGATGTCGTGGCTGCTGTGGCTGCCAAGATGTTTCAGGGGGAGTCAGAAAGGGCAGGCATCAGAATATTGAAGGATTTTAGGGAGCTGCAATTTGGAAATATTGCACTGGAGCTTCCAAGCATGGTCGAGCTGAGTCCAGGGTGATTCTGAGCAGACAAGGATTTCATTGAATCCCAATCCCGATTCTGGTTTGCTTTTGCCAGCTTGCCTTCATGATCTGAGAAGAAATGCCAGAGTTTATTTGCTGGGATGTTTCTGACAGCGATCTGCCCAAGCAGTCTGCTCATGCAGCTTCACTGCAGCCATGCTCAGCAGTGTGCACCAGGCACCATGCGGCACCAACCGAGTCGAAATGCATCTGTTTCAAGGGATGCACGCTGCACAATTGTTGCATGTGCTGCTGCCACTGACACTGTCTTGGCAGCTATCTGCTGCTCACGTGTCAATCCAAATGTAGCATATAGATCCTTTCATTGGCTCTCGGAATCTACGGTTACTAAGGCCAGCAGGTCTTTCCAGCATGAAACGGAATGAACAGGCTGTGTCGTATCTCATGCACCCCTGCTGCCCAACTTGCAGAGTGAGCCAGTGTTCTGAGCACTGGCTCATAATACCAAAGTATCTGTTGCCAAATCTGAGGTATTGCGAGTATGCACAATTTTGCCGAAAAGAGGGGCGTAGGGAGTCCTCCCAAGTCTGGCAGCACCGCAGCATCGAGAAATTGTGGCAACTTTAGGTACATCTGCATTCCGATTTCAGCGCAGAGTTCAGGGCATGAATAACGATGTCTGCCAGGGAGGCCTTTCTGGGATATGCCACTGCATGGTAGGGAGCCCACCGCCGCTGCTATCATGCTGATCAGAGGATCCCGCAAAATCTAACTGTAGTGTACATGCAATGTCAAGGGACAGAAATGTCAAGGAAAACACTCTGTGCCACAAACACATGGGAAAATGTCGTGGGGAGGCAGCAACTCGACTTTCATTGAAGACAACGCCAAAACAGGCTTCTAAATTGCACCCCCTTTCAATCCCAACTCTTCCACCAAACGTGGCTTTGTTCGCGAGGCCGAACACCAACTGCCCATCACCTGGCCGTCATCGCAACCGGCGATTGCAAGGTTCCTCAAGAGAAAACACCCATCCAATAGCAAAATTGAACGACAGCAGTTGCAACACTCTCTCTGCACCTACGACATCAATGCCACTCCACAATGCATAGCTCCACACAGTTAGAGCACACAGACAGCTGTGCGTTTGAAAGCAAAGTGGGCACACGTGATTCATGCAAGCGCCTTGTTGCAAGACAGCACACAACAAGTTCTTCAATGTTTAGTCGTCTCGCTCATGACGTCGCACCCCCAGTCGCCTGTTCATCCGCCTTGCACACACTGGCGCCAGTCCCCAACCAACCCCACAACCAGTGGTGCACAGTGGTGCACCTCACTGCATCACAAACCAAACCTGCCAGCAACGCACAACGGCCCCCAACAAACTCTAGGCGTCTGCCTTCGGCTCCCAACCGATGTGCTTCCAGTTCTCGCCCGCGTACACAGCGTCAGCCCCCAGCTCCTCCTCGATGCGCAGCAGCTGGTTGTACTTCGCCAGCCTCTCGCTCCTGCAGGGCGCACCCGTCTTGATCTGGCCTGTTGCCAGACCCACAGACAGGTCTGCGATGAAACTGTCCTCTGTCTCTCCAGATCGGTGGCTGGCCATGATGCCCCAGCCAGCCTCCTTTGACATCCTCACAGCCTCAATCGCCTCAGACACAGATCCGATCTGGTTGACCTTGAGCAGCAGGGCGCTGCAGGTCTTCTTCTCGATGGCATCCTTCACCCTCTTGGGGTTCGTCACCGTCAGGTCGTCTCCCACGACCTGGCAGACGCCTGCGGCGGTCAGGGCAGCAGTGTTGTCCCAGTCATCCTGGTCGAAGGGGTCCTCGATGGTGATGACGGGGTAGTTGGAGCAGAAGCCCTTGTACATGTCAAGCATCTCGGTGCCGGTCTTCTTGGCGGAGCCGTCGTTGTCCGGGGTCTTGAAGTTCAGGTCGTACATCTGGTCCTCCGTGCAGAACTCGGAGGCAGCCACGTCCATGCCGATCTTCACCTTGCCTGCTCACACAGGAGCCACCATTGTCAGAAATTCGAACTTGAAGCAGGCCTGTTGGGTGTGTTGCCAAGAAAGCCCAATGCAAATGGAGGTTTCAGCCACAAACAAAACACCAGAGTGCGCGAATGGCTGGATGATCTGTCTTGGATTGATCTTAATCAGGGGAATCTGGACGGACATTTGCTGGACACTGTGCCTGCGGTTGTTCTCCTTTAGGGGAATAAAAAGGGACAAGACACAGCAAGTGCCAATCCGACATTGTATCCCTTCAAAAGGCGATGTCAGCGAAAACGTACTAGTGCTTAACAGGATGGCCAGGACCAAATCCCAAGGTCGGGGCCCTGAATGCCATGTTAGGCAAAAGAATGGACAACAGCGGCCACCAGCGCACCCGCATAGTCTGCCTTGTCAATGGCCTGGTTGACCAGGTTGAGGCCCTCCTCATTCGACCCAATGTTGGGCGCGAAGCCGCCCTCGTCCCCCACGTTGCAGGCATCCTGCCCGTACTTCTCCTTGATCAGCGCCTTGAGGTTGTGGTACACCTCGCACCCCATCTTCATGGCCTCCGTGAACGACGACGCCCCCACGGGCAGGATCATGAACTCCTGCATCGCCAGCGCGTTGCCGGCGTGGCTGCCCCCGTTGATGATGTTGAACGAAGGAACCGGCAGGACCAGCTTGCTGTTGCCCGCGATCTCCGCGATGTGCTTGTACAGCGGGATGCCCTTCTCCGCGGCGCCCGCCTTGCACACGGCCATGGACACCGCCAGGATTGCGTTGGCGCCCAGGGCGCCCTTGTTGGGCGTGGCGTCCAGCGCGATCATCTCGTCGTCGATCGCCTTCTGCTCCACGGGGTTCTTGCCGATCAGCATGGGCCCGATCTTGGTGTTGATGTTGTCCACGGCCTTGGACACTCCCTTACCCATCCAGTGAGGCTTGTTGCCGTCGCGCAGCTCCACTGCCTCGTGCACGCCGGTGGACGCGCCGCTGGGCACCGCGGCGCGGAAGACCCCCTTGGCTGTGTGCACGTCCGCCTCGACCGTGGGGTTGCCCCTGGAGTCGATGATCTGGCGCCCCACCACCTTGGTGATCCCGGGGGGCGCCATCTTGCGCAGGTGGTCGGCCATGAACCCCACCGGGTCCTCGGGCTTCACCTTGACGCAGGCATTGATCGCCTCCTCCACCAGCTTGGGGAGGTTGTGGCGGTCGATGTACTCCTGGACGCTCATGGCGACAGAGGGGCCTGTTTTTCCACACAAAGCGCACACAGCTTCTCATCCACTGCCGTGGAGGCAATGGCATCGCGGCGCCGGCCATCCCAGCCCTCCCCGGCACGGACGGCGGACTCGCCAAGAACTTCCCGCACAAAAACAGCGCCGACGGCCAGGTGCTGATCTCGGCGCGCACCGCAACGCATCCCCCTTTCGCCGGCCCCCCAGCCCTTGATCCACATCCAGGGCCCCCGGAAGGCGCGCGGCCACCCGGCCGGGCCCCGACACAGCCCCGCTTACACCGGCCCTGCCAGACCCGGCAGCCGCACAGCCGCCCGCCGGGCCGCAGCAACTGCTGCGGGCGACTCGATTGTCAAAAACGGCGTGGCGCAGGTCGCTGCTTTGGCGACGGCATTGGGGGCGCTGTACCTCTGCCGGGTCTCCCGGGCCCCGGGGAGAGACGCGCCGTCGCGCAGAAACGCCAGCGCACCCAGCCCACAGATCCGCAAGTGCGCGGGGCCGGGCGCAGCGCCATGCGCCCCGCGAGGCCCTCCCGAGCGGCCGCCCTTACCTTTGGGGTGGAGCGAGGCGAGGTGGCGGCGCGGCGCGGCGCTTTCGCGGTGATCAGCCGCCTCGGGCAACCGGCCAGGCGGGGCAGTGCATTGGGCTCTTGAGGGGGCTCTGGGGCACCCACAGGGCCCACCAGATTCTTCGGCATTTGCTGCATGAGCGCATATTTTTCGCGCCGCGAGGAGCCAGGACAGGAAGCCGGTGGCTGCCTCATTGCCTTGTTGTGGTGACGGAGGTAGGTGGGGTCGAGGGCGGCGGCCCCTGACTGGGGACCGCAGGCCCGAGTACACGGCAACGCTTTACAACGGAGCTAAGGGAAAATAGGAATTCTGCTCCTTGTGTATCCGGTCCGTTCATCAGAGTCCTTAAAACTCAGTTTCTATCGCCTTACCTCTGTGCGTCCGGCTAATAACAATACTCAATCAGTTCTGGTTGCAACAATGTATAACCATGAATTGTGGTTATGATGATGATGAAACCGGGACGGGGCACACTTTCGACACCGATTCCAAAACAATTCTTGACGTCGGGAACACATCGATGCGGCTGCGATATGGGAGCAACAAATGTCAGTTGCCAAACTGTCAGTGGCCCCATGGGTGGTTACAGAATCGAGGGGACCCCTGATAAAATAACCACACAGGAGTCACCCACAGTGTCACCATATGTCTAGAGCATTGGTGTTGTGTACTTGAGAGACTGCCGCATCACTGTCACACTGCCAAGAAGATCCTCGCATTATGGTGGCTGGCACCAATCGTACAACTTACCTCTTTTGTCAACAAGTTAGCTTCACGTACTTCTCCAGCCACTTTATAGTCCCCTACTTCTGACTCAACTTCCCTGCGCTTGTGTTGGTGGTGGGCGATGAAGGACTGAGCCTCCACTTGTTCCTCCCCCAGCTTCCTTGCCTGGCAGGCTTCCATGTGCTGCAGCGCCTCGAGGTGTCATGCAACCAGGTATTCATTGTGTTGGTTGTTGTTGCCTGTTGATGTGGACAA